TTTGGGTTGATTTTACACGGGGAAAAACTTCCTTTTCCTGTCGTTCTATAACCGTTCGGGTCTATGATACTACACACGCCTTAGTGGAGTATAGGATGAGGGGCCAGAGTGCAGTGTTTAAGGGGTCAGTATTGGATTGCTTATTACGGTATGGCGGCTAGGCTTTGAAAAGCACTTGTGCTCTCCCTGGTGATGCTGTCGATGGTATGGTTGAATGTTTCATTGTTATGCGAATAACGGTTGCTCAGCCGGGAAAAATCCAATTGTGGCATCCGTTTTTCGGGTAGTTCTAGGAGAGTCTCATTCGACAAGGTCATTCGCGATCGATCAATGTTGGGCTTTTCGACAGTCAAGTTTTCGCTCCTCTCGATGCTCACCCGACTTCCCGAGTGGCATCAGGTACTTCGAGCCACATACAGAGGATGTTGTAGTAGTAGTAGCATGGTGGCGAGCTCCCAAGAAGGAGGCTCAAGACCAACACATAGATGGAAGCTGCCCGTTGCTGGCGAGGTCCTGTATCATCGTTTAACCAGGACTTAATTCTTGTGTATAGGTACGGCAACGGAGTCGAGCGCGAGTGCTGCCGAGCTATCCATCGTACGATAGTGTTGGGATAACTGAGTTCATCGATATGCAGCGCATCGGTGGTCGTGTCAAAGTGAAGGTGACGTCAAAGTGCACGAAAATTATGAGAAAATTCAGGAAATTCTCGTGGGTTTCTGAAAATTTCTACCCGAGTACTTGTATAAACTCCTATAGTTAGTGGGGAAACTGCCGAGCTCAGCTGAGGAAAATGAACATAGATTGATTTTATAAATTCATCGACTGCACTCTTTGGAGCAACGATATACATACTGGGGGTTTTCGAGGAGAGATCCACGACTATTCTGTATCGGGTAATGTGTGTTGAATGTCTTCTTCACGTCACTAGACGCGGCCTGAATCGATGTGGAACAGGCAGTCCGGGTTCGATCCCCGGCACGGGCCTTTTTCCAGAATATTTGTGCTTTTCTAAAAGTCACAGTTTTGGTAACTGTTATAGGATGGGGAGAAGGATCAACTACGTATTAGACAAGCAAAGACGCGTTCCGTAATATATCGCAATATATCGGCGCAATAGTGGAGGACTAACTTCGTACAAAGCAATGCACGGAAAAAGTCACAAGTGTTATACTGAGTTCACTGCGGGAGAACTCAACTTGTAAGATTCCAGCGGGTGCGTAGCCATACATTGATCAAGAGCGAGGCAAGGATAAGCGGTGAATACTACAGTAATGAGATGAAGATCGCCAAGGAGCTGACAGTTACATCATCAGGGAAGTATGTCAAGATTATGTAACCGTTAACACAATCCACTCGACTCGAGGGATGAATAACTCATTTACGTTACTTGTAGTATTACAGAATATACGAATATCTAACGCAGCTCAGCTGAGGGCCAACTGTACTGCAAACGGGACAGTCTTAAAAAATGTTGAGATCGCGCTCGCCCAGCAGTGTAGCATTCAGTGACTCAGCGGGAGACCAGTTGAGTTTTTGTGCGATGGGTGCCTTCCTGGTAGATAAAAGATTGGGAAGTCCGCGAGGTCGGTATTGATGGTAGAGTAGCCCGACTGCCGTTCGAGACGGGAGTAGATGGTTGGAAAGAAGTGGAGGAACTCATGCAAATGCAGACTATGCATAAGTGAGCTTCCGCATGCACGATTTTCGGGAGGAAAAATTGACCTCTTTTGATTAAAAAATGACCTTTTCTGAGTAGGAAGAATCGACTTTCTTTAGATAGATAAATTGATCTTTTTCGAGTAAAAAAATTGAACTCTTTTGGTTGAAAAAATACCTTTTCTGAGTAGAAAATTGACATTTTTTGGGTAAAAAAATTCCCATTTTTGCTTGAAGTTTTGAGGAAGGATTGATGCCGGCCAGGTTGGAATCGTATGCTCCTATTGATAGCATTGAGGAGACTCCTTCGCCTGGATCTGCAGACTCAACTGAAGAGCTCAGGAAAGCCTTTTGGGAAGGGTAAGCGTAGTTAACAAAAGTGTGGGAAAATATGAACATGGTTAACTACATGTATTAGTGGAGATATGAAATTTTGTGAGGAAAATTTTTGGGAATTTTTTGTTGGTTTGAGGACACTTCTACCCG